TTTATTTAAATATTTTAAATTTTAAAAAAAATAAATTATAAACAAATTTATAGCAATTTTCTAGGCAAATTTGCCTGAAATTGTCTATAGTTTAAGAGATAATTTTTTTTTTTTTAATGTTAAAAGTGAAACTATACTCTTATCTTTATTAAACTTAATAAAAACTTTTTATATGATTAAAAAATTTATATTTTAAGTCTAGTACTAAGAATAAAAACTCAAACTAACTAAGTGTTTAATAAAAGTAAACCTAGTGTTTTATCTGCGACCTAAATCTAATTTATATTATAATTTATATATTAGATAATTTATAATATATTAGAAAATCATAATATAAATATCTAGTGAATTTATTTATTATGGTTTGCATACTTTTTGATCAAATTTGTAGATTGCTGTATACTCATACAATCATCTGATTGTAGTCCGATTGCATGATTGTACAAGATTGTAAAAATTATAAAGTATATTCTTTGGCCAAAGATTCAATATAAATATGTTATTCTCATTAACCAGATCTATATTTACTAAAAAATCATTGCAAAATCACACAACTAGACAATATTCAGGTGATTGTTCAAGTGATTGTAGCCATTGTATAGATATGCAGCGATCTACAAATTTGATCAAAAAGTACATCAATTTGCAAACCACGATAAATCAATAATTTTATTAAAGTACAATATAAGAAAGCTACAAGTTTGCTTAATAACTTAAATCATAGTTCATAATACAAATAAATTATGATAGTCTTATAAAAAGAGTATTCTAAACTGTATAAATAATTTTTAATAAATTGTGTGATGTTTTTCTGATAATTTTCTAATTTGGAAGAGTCTCCCTAGAGGTTTAGGAATACTAAAAATTATGAATTTATTTATAAATTCCTTAATTTTGAAAATTATTTATAAAAAACCAAAATTTTAAAAAATTTTATACATGATTTTAGCAGTTTGATTGGTTACAGATTATGTGTTTATTAATTTCTATTAATCTAATTGGTTGTATTCATATGATTCAAAATTTCGAGCAATAATTCAAAGTTACGTGAATTAAATGGCGTGGCCCGAATTATGAAATTTAATTTCCTAATGCCGGCTAAATCCAAAAATTTCCAAAATTTTTTGCATTATCCAAAAAAAATTTACTTAAAATCCAAAAAAAAAAATCGGCGTCCCTGCCCGGGTTGGACGGGTCCAATCACTAGTTGGATTTGGACTAGTACTTGCAACCTAAGACACAACAAAAATCAAAGGCTACTCTGAAAAGCGTGAAAGATTTGGTCCGAGAACCAAGAATCCTACTGCCACTAGGATCCCCGGATATTATTATAACACTTCACTTGTTTTCAGATACATGATTATTTATACATTACAATGAGCTTTGGGGCTTTGCAACTAGGGGAATCTATGACTAACGATGAGTAATTCATACTCATTTACATGACTATGACTTTAGTTCCCACCATAGAAGCGCCTTACTATTGTTCTTCAATGGAGCTTCGCCTCCGAATTGGCATTTATTAAATGCCTTCGTTTTTTCAATCAATGCGCATTAAGGTCCAGCGTCTTATGGCCTAGATCACGTTTTTTTGCTCACGTTATCCTTCACAATGTACATATTGACATTTACCTATTAGAATGCATAATCACAATACTATGTAAACTATATACATTAAATAAATGATTATGATCTTAAATTATGCATTTAAAACTTTATTGAAATTATACTGTATATATATTGATTAGGCTGTCCAGAATTATGCAATAACAGAAATTTGCAGTTGAAATGAATTTTATTATTTTTAATAAATTATAATTTTCATTTTAAACTATTATAAATTTGTATATTAGGACTTTTTAAAAACCTAAGGACCCTGAGGTCCTTAAATTTGGACTTGGTCTTTAAAGGCCAGGTTTAAAGACCAGGTCCTAAAGTCCCGGACCTAAGGACTTTACCAACCCTATTTATCTCTGTGGTGGCGGTCTTTCTGGTACTTGATACATATCCCAGTCTGTTGTTTGCGAAATGTTCGTTTCGAATGCTGTAGGTTGCTGTTGCTGCTGCTGCTGCTGCTGCAGCTCCATAAATTGTGGTGTTTGTTGTTGTTGTTGTTGTAACTGTTGTGCTGCGAACAACGCTTGTTGTTGTTGTTGCTGTTGTTGTTGTAAAAATTGTTGCTGTTGTAAATATGGATCTGGCTGTGCGGGTCCGAATCCTCCAGTTGGTTGTGTTGGTACAAAACTACTAGCTACATTTTGACCGAAACCACCCATAGTGTGTGTTCCAAACCCTTGTTGAGTTTCTGGAAATCCAATTGTATTTTGTCCAAAAGTAGGTGTTCCTCCAAACGTGGGTGGTTGATTGGTATTAAAAGCTCCAAATGTGTTTTGAGGTGTTCCGAATCCCTGTGGTTGCGGTTGTCCAAATGCGCCACCACTACTACCAAATATTTCAAATGAGGATTGTTGTTTTTGCTGTTTTTGTGACTCGAATCTGTTGAGTGAATTACGCAAGTCTTTAAGACAAGAATCTATTTGCGTTTGCGTGCGATTTTCTAGATCCTTAACACCATTTTGCTATATGGTTTATAAAAATGTATTTTGAGATTATCTATGTCCTGCGGTATTGTGATCCTCTTGACTTCATTACTTGTCTCCGAAGAACTAATTGACGCAGTTTTGCAAATATAATGGAAGATAATTGGTACAAAAAATATCTCCAAAATACATACGTATTGTATATCATTTCCGACAGTTCCCATAATTATATAATATTGAAGTCGCAACTCTTCTGGTGAGTAGTCCGTACCATCTACTAGATTGGGTTCTTCTTTTCCTGGTCCATAGACTGAGTACCGATATATAGGCCGGTCTTTGGTCAGATCTGTTCTTACACTCCTTTCACTATAAAATTGTGTTGTCATTTAAAAATATAAAGAACATTGAATATTGTGAATCAAAACTGTATTCCATAAATCTTTTAGAACATACTCGTAAGTTTTGTTATTATTTGTTGAACCCGAAACTATACAAAATCAATAAATAAGTATATAACACTATGAATCTGATATATAATAAAAGTATAAAACATTTTCACTATTAACAGGCATCTAAAAGTTTTTTAAAGTTTTGTTATTCTCACCATAACTGATTCGATCATATATATCTGAGCGTTGCGGATTGTTATAGCGTGAATTTCCTCCGTATGATGGTTGACCCCGATGTTCGTTTTGACACTGGCTACCGAATTTGCAACGTCCTTCCAGGTAGAATTTACAAATCGTCATTTTTGTTTTATTTTATTTTATTTTTTCTTGGTAGATTGAATTTTAGAACAATGCACACTCGGACCTGTATTAAGAAAACGTGTGGCTAAAAGCTCATCTATTTATATAGACCAGATAATTAATCTAGCACTGAATAATTCTTAAATGATTGGTCAATTTTTTACTTAATGTTTACAATTCATTTTTAAATGTTTTCGACATTAATCGAAATATTTTAGCTGCGAATTTCGCAAATTCCGCAAATTCGGAATTCTGAATTACAGTCTATATGCGTACTTTGTTTACCAACTTGGATTTTAGTAATAGATGTAAATATGTGTATATATCTATATACTACTGTATATTTAAAGTTAATATACAAAAATGTAAATATACAGTATAATATACAGTATATATATATATATATATAATATTTATAAATATTTTTTTTTGGCAATTCTGTCTTTATTATACAAGGAATTTATATTTAAAATATACAGGTTTTTTAGCTACTGCCAATAACCCTTTCTTCTTTTCAATAAGTTTTTTTTTTTTTTTTTTTAAATATTAAGGTAACTACTTAGGCCCCTGGCATGTAGCTTTATTAAGATAGATATGATATTATAACAAATTCATGAGGATACAACTAGTTACATGTATACCTTTTGAGTGCCTAATTAAGTAGTCCACAACTAAGCTATTTTTAATCTAGAGTTTTATACTAGCTATTGTACCTATAACCCAACTAGGGAGTTACCCATTTAAATCTTTTGGCTCTATCTTTGTAACATGCTCTACTCTAATACTTTTTAAGATTAGCAATGCTGTGAAATGACCCTAAAACTTTAGCTACATGGGCATTTATCTTTGTGATAAACCTAACAGAATGGTACATGTCTCACATATATACTTGTCTGTTTGTTTGATAACTTCTTTTTAACTAATATATGTTTTACTACCACTACCAGGTTTGTGTCTCAAGCTATCTTTTTTGGATACTGTTGTAACCTAATCTGTATTTCAAGTTACAACCTTCCTAATTAGTTATCTATTATATATTTCCTACCTTTGCAAGGTTTACAACAACCCTGATACCTACATACTGTATCAATTTTCTTCTTTCTCAGATTCCTTATTAGTCCTTTCTTTACTTCTAGCTAGCAACCTGGAAAGGTTGGTCTGCCCAGGCATTAGGTGCTTTATAGTCTCTCTTCCCTTGGTACAGTGCGCAGCATAAGTAACTGACCCCTCTTAACTTTTTAAATCAAAATGCTAGAGTCTTAAAAAT